GCATTTTTATTTTGCATTAAGTACGGGATAATTTAGGCGCCGTTTCAATATTTTGGACTTATTTTAGGTTTAGGGTTTTAATATTTATTAATCGAGCTTAATTAATAAATTAAATGAAATGGATTAAAAAGGGTTTGGGCTAGAAATGAGGGTTGGACTATGCTTTGACTAAATAATTGGACTGAAAATACGGACTGATTAGTTAAATGTATTTGACTAAATATGGATTTTAAGCACTTCCGAGATTCAATACTCGACCCGGCCAATAATGGCGATGAAAGGTTGTTCATCATCGGGTTTGGTTTTGGGGAGACATTTTTAGGTGTCTACAGGTCCCCACCACCACGGCCACCAGCAGCCCTGCTTGCTAGCCGTGCCGCCAGCAGTTGCCGGTAGTGGGAGTCGTCAGAAAATAAACTTCCTCGCATGTCTGTAGTTCTTATTGTAAAACCCATCCTAAGTCCTATGTCCTACTATTTTTTTTTAAAAAAAAAGAATCTATTGTTCCAATTTCATACTTACGACAGTAGCATACTTACGACAGTAGCATACTTGCGACAGTGAAATTAGTTTCCACTTTCATACTTTGTGTACTTTAACAAATTTTTGTCATTTATATTTTGTATTATTTATTAATATTATTAATTTTACATATAGAAATTAATTAGGAGAAGAAAATTGCATGTAGTTAGACAAAAAATAAATTAGTTTCATAAATTAATAATAGGCAAATTAAATTTATGTAGTAAAAAAAATTTATCTTTGTACTTCCGGCCATAAATTGCCTACCATTTTAGGTGGCCTTGGTCTCAAAAATAAAACGTAAGCCGACCATCGAGGCGACATTTTTGAGAATTTAGCCCGTCCATACAGATGGCTTAAAATGCAATCTTTGCCCTCCATAAAGGTGGCTGATTTGCTTTGAAGAGGTCAATTAATCGCTGTGGCGACGTTTTACTAGTTAGAGGTGGTGATGATATCTTTATCATCTCTTCCTCTCTTATTAGTATTTGAAGGAGGGGCTTCGATTTTGATTGGTGGTAATGGGGGATAGTCATTGAGGTTAGGAACAACTTGGGGAATCTTGACGACCTCGGCGGGGTTAGTATTTCGGGCTTAATTTGTACTCCCTCGGGCTGATTGTATTGTACCACAAGGTATGGCATTACGCTCTACTATGAAATATATATTTGTTACTAATACATTATTCAAAAATGTATTGACGCAAATATATTGGTGCTCCATTTTTTTAGTAATGAATAATTTGATAGTTGAATTTAAATTTAAAATTTGAAAAGGCAAAACTACCTTTTGAGTAATTTGAGCAAATTGGTGCTGATAAAGTGTTTTACAACAAAGGATTTCAAAGAGATCAAAAGAAAGCTTTTAGATACTCCGCTAATTGTTGTGTGTATTTTCTCAGATTATGCGGGGATTTATAGTACCCTTGCATGAACAGTGTTTGCTCGATATATTAAACATGCAGTGAAATGTCTAATCGAGCATGAGGTTCTGAGCGGCAATATTTACTCTTGCATGGGAAGCTTAGCGGTGATATTTGGCGATATTTTGAATCCGTTCATATTACGCATACGATTTGTATTACAACACAAATCATTTTTTGCCCAAAAGTCTTTTAAACACAATTCATAAGGCAGTTTTAAGAAGGAAAATTTGGTTTTATTAATCCCAGCTTTAGGCAATTTTCTTTTTTTAATCCCAACTTTTGATTATTCCTGAATAATCTCAACTCTATGGGGTGACTTTCATTACGCCTAGATGACCGGTAACCCTTTTTTATAAAATATTTCAGATTGCCACGTGTTAGCACATGATTGGATTAAATTTTAACTCTCGTCCCTTTCCACTCTCCCTTTTTGGATTCGACAGCCCCACCTCCTTCCTGCTCGTTGCCACCTCCAACAACCCTCCTCATCCAATCTATCCCCCTCTTTCCCCATCACAGGCGAGTAAGCGACCCCATTGCACCTCCTTCTTCCCCTTCTTCGACAATTTGGAGGTTGTATGGTGGTGGTTTCGAGAGTTAAGGGAGGTTGTTTTTAAGGGAAAGCAAGGAAAGGTGTTTCCGAGGTAGGGGAAGTGTGGGATGGTGATTTCGGGGGTGGAAGAAGTAAGGGAGGTGGGTTTTCTAAGGGTGGGAGTGTAGGATTTAGGGTGGCTTAGGGGTGGGGAAAGGGAGGGGTTGTTTCGGGGTGGGGGAAAAGGAGGGAATTGTGTTCGGGGTGGGAGAAAGGGAAGGTGGCGGTTTCTAGGGTGGGGTTAGGAACAAGGGCGGTTTTCGAGGTGGGGGTAAGGGACATGCTTAAGGGCAGTTTCTAAGGTGGGAATTGGGAAAAGGGTTGGCCGTCGGCAGTGATGAGCGGGTGGCTGGCTTTTTTTTATTTTGTTTTACAACTTTATTTTGGACCAATAGAGTGTCGACACATGGTTAAAGACCTATTTCAACATGTTTGGTAATCGTTTAGGCCTAATAAAAGTAAGGATTATTCTAGAATAATCCAAAGTTGGGATTATTTCTTGGAATTATTAAAAAAAAAAACCGACCAAAGTTGAGATTATTAAAACCAATTTTTCCTTTTAAGAATTCTATTTAATCACTTTTGCTCTATTATGAAATAAAATGTGAGCCCCCATCAAAACGCCGCTTTTACTCCAAACGTTTAATTCATGATAACATTTTGATTGTATAAGATTCCTGAACATTTTTCACAAGTCCAATTATTAAACTTGGGTGGTGTGCCCTTAAGTTAAATATGGAAAAGACATATGATTTAATAGGATGAGATTTTTTATGGATATGTTTAAAAGCTTTAATTGGTTTATCTCAACACTAGATAGGGATTGGTGAGTGTGTAACCAAAGTCTCTTATTTGGTAAAGATTAATGATACTTCCACTCAATGGCTTAAATTGTCAAGAGGTCTTCTGTATGAAAGGAAACCTTAATTTCCTTACCTCTTTAGAAAATTTCTATTGAAATTCTTCAACTTATATTGAGAGTCTTAAAACAAAGTTGGAGTAGGCTTTAAACAAAAACATTTAAAAGTTACAGTTCTTCATAAAGGAGTTTGACTAATGCGACATTCTGAACATTCAAATTAAAGGTGATAATATACTAGTCAATAACACAATAAGAGACATTTGGACAGTTCCTTGGTAGGTTGAACATATTATTGAAAATACTCGTTCTCTTCTCACTTAGTTTCAAAATTGGATATACATTACATCTAATGAGAACAAATAAATCACTTAGTAGATTGGATTGCTAATGCAGGTCATTCAGTTTTTTATTTTATGGATATTGAATATTTGTAATAACTCTAATCTGTTTAGTATTTCCTTACGGTAATACATTAGGAACTCTCCTCATGAGGATGCTTTCTTAATGATTATTTTTCATATTATTAAAAAAAACTATAAACAATAAAGCGCAATAAAAAAAAGTATGTGATGTAAAATAGGGAAGTTCGTTAATGGATCAGATTTGGATCAGGTAGCTTCACTGACATTTTCCCACATTTCCATCCACTCCACATCACCCGTTTAACGCATCACTCACATTCATCCATATGTCATCCATGGATGGTACGAGTGGATCAGGACAACTTTTAGTTATTTCTACAATAAAAAATAATTTTGATTGTAAAAAGGAAATGGTAATAAACAATTTATTGTAAAAAAAAGTTAAACTCTAAATGTAATCCGAACTTATTTTTAGATGAACTAAACATAAACTAAATATGAAGTACAATACACTTTTATCTTTATTTAATTTAAGAATTCATAAAATTATTAAAAAAAAAAAAACAAACATTTTCATAATTTCAACTATGGGCGATTTACTTCTAATAATCCAACTAAGGTTTATTACTTAATATCCCAACTATGCTGTCAGTTTGCCTCCAATGGTCCCAACCATGTGTCAACATGTGATTGGTCCAAATTTAAAAAAAAAAAACATAAAAAATTATAAAAAAAAACCCAAAATTCCCCAGCCACCCTTTCCACCACCACCAAACCCTAACCTCATCGAAAACCAGCTGGCCACCCCCTCCTCTTGATCATCCAAACCGGCCGGCTGGCCCTCTACCAACCATTTGACCCACCCCGACCCCTAAAACCACCCACCCCGACCCCAAAAACCACCAACTCAATCACCCTCGAAACCAGACCCTCTCCTTTCCTCTGCCTCCAAAATCGCCCCTCTTCCCTTCCCCCACCGCCGAAATGACCAATTTCGAGGGTGGGGAAAGGGAGGAGGGGCGGTTTTGGCGGTGGAGGCAGGGAAAGGGCATGTTTTATAGTATTAAAAAAAATATGTGAAAAATTAATAGTTGCAATATAGTATAAAAAATAATAGTTGCAACATACTATAAAAAATAATAATTGCGACATACTATAAAAAATAATAATTAAAAAAATTAATTAATAAATTAATAGTTGCAACATACTATACACAAATAATTTTTTGTATTTTAATATAAAAAATAATATAAAACTATTAAAAAATAATATAATAATAATACTAAAAAATAATAAAAAATAATATAAAAATAATATAAATATAATACTAAAAAATAATATAAAAATAATATAAAAATAATAATAAAAAATAATATAAAAAAATAATAGTTGTAACATACTATAAAAAATAATAGTTGCAACATACTATACAAAATAATTTTTTGTATTTTAATATAAAAAAAAATTAATAAATTAATAGTTGCAACATACTATAAAAAATAATAGTTACAACATACTATAAAAATAATAGTTGCAACATACTATAAAAAATAATTTTTGTATTTTAATAAATTAATAGTTACAATATACTATAAAAAATAATTTTTTTAAAAATTACAAAAAATAATTTTTTAAAAATTATAAAAAAACAAAAATTCCTCAATAAGTGGGTACCAACTTAGTTAATATGATTCATAAACAAATAATAATCCAACAAGGATGCGTTTTGGTACTCAACAAAGGGCATCTTCATCTTCATTTTATCACTCGCTCCCAATTCCCCCTTACTATAAAAACTCACTCAATAAACCCTCCGCCACTTTTCCATCATAACTCATCTCTTCACACACTCTCTTCCCTTTGTCCTCACCTACCATCTATCCATCCATCAATGGCTGCTGCACCAGCAACAACCTTTTCTCTCTCCTCCTCTACATCGTCATCTTCCTCAGCTAGAGCCTTGAAGCAAACCCCTAAACCCTCGGCTTTCAACCTAGGGTTTCTCGGCTCTTCGTCTTCTACCAAAGCGTGTAGGTCTCTCAAATCATCAGCTCGCGCTCTTCCAAACGGTGCTGGATCTTCCGCGCTTTCTGCTCAAATGGTTTCCGCGCCTTCGATTAACTCGCCGCCTTCCACCACCTTTGACTTTGAGAGCTCTGTTTTTAAGAAGGAGAAGGTCACTCTTTCCGGTCACGACGAGGTTTCTCTTTCTCTGTCTCATCTTCGATTTTTTTTATTTTTTTTGGAAAATGGTGGAAATTTTTCACTTTTTTTTTTTTTGGGTGTTATGTAAATTTGCAGTACATTGTGAGGGGAGGAAGGAATTTGTTTCCGTTGTTGCCGGAAGCATTTAAGGGTGTTAAGAAGATTGGTGTTATTGGATGGGGTTCTCAGGTATTGTATTTTGTTTGAGAAATTTGATTTAATGAATTGTACGGATTGATGTTCATTTTAAGGGTTTTTAATCGTTGTTTATTTGATGGTTTTTTTTTTTTTATTATTATATTTTGTAATAGGAAAAATTGATTGATTTAGTAAGTGAGTTTTTTAGCTGGGAAATTCATAAAGTAAAATTGATATGTGATTCATATTTGTATATATCAATGGCATGTTTGTGAATTAGTGTGAATTTTTTGTTCAATTTTTCTGTAACTCTTGGTTTAAAAGTACATCATTTGGTTTAATAAGTGTATATATATCATATGGTTTCATTACATCTACTCTTAATTGTTCTATTTGCCCTTGATGAATTTTAATGAATTTCCCAACATGGCCTTAAGTATTCAGCGAAATTACCAAAAATACTAACAGAAGGAGATAGCAATGACAGCGGATAAGATATTATTAAAGCTACTTATGAACAGTATTCCTCTGCTGTTTAGTGATTAATACTTCATACAAGTCAACAATATTGTTAACAATGTGTAGAAATATGTTGAAGTAATGAGTTTTAGCAGCTAAAACTGTCCTTGGGGTCCATATTAATCATGCTCGGTTTTTTTTTGTAGGGCCCTGCTCAAGCTCAGAACTTGAGGGATTCTCTGACAGAGGCAAAGTCTGATATTGTTGTCAAGGTTAATTGAATACTAAATTTCTATCATCCTTCCGTCAAGCTTCTGTCACTATGTGACAAAAATGTGTGATTTTAAGCTAACCTTTGTCACTCATGGCTTTTTTGCTTCGTGTGATGCAGATTGGACTCCGCAAAGGGTCTAGCTCTTTTGCTGAGGCACGTGCTGCTGGTTTCAGTGAAGAGAATGGCACTTTAGGTGAGATGTGGGAGACCATTTCCGAAAGTGATCTTGTGATGCTGCTGATTTCTGACTCTGCTCAGGTTTATATCTCTCTGCAATCTTGCTCCTCTAGCACAGAAGCTTTCTTTTCCTCATTTCTCAATTGCATATTTAAATTAGTTCTGTTAGTTATGAATATGAATTGCGCATTGTAACCCTGGTTTCAGCTGAATGTTATATGATGGTTAAATTAACTTTACCCTTTTCTTTGTCTATATTTCAGGCTGACAATTACGAAAAGATTTTCTCCCATATGAAACCAAACAGCATTCTTGGATTGTCTCATGGATTCCTTTTGGGGCATCTGCAATCTCTGGGATTGGACTTTCCCAAGAATATCAGCGTGATTGCTGTATGCCCAAAGGGAATGGGGCCTTCTGTTAGGAGGTTGTATGTCCAGGGTAAAGAGGTCAATGGTGCTGGAATCAACTCCAGCTTCGCCGTTCACCAGGTCTGGCACTTTTCATTGATTCTTGCAAGTGCATTGTTGGTGGTGTGCCTTTTCTTACTTATGAATTTGCATCCAATATAATTAGAATTTACCATTTTCATACTTGTAGGATGTCGATGGTAGGGCTACAGATGTAGCACTTGGCTGGTCAGTTGCTCTTGGATCCCCCTTCACATTTGCCACTACTCTCGAGCAGGAGTACAAGAGTGATATCTTTGGGGAGCGAGGTAGATATAACCTCTTTATCTCTTGTGTTACCGCCTTGTGGATTTTTGAGACAACGAATCAATTTGCTTCTTTCCTTTGTAGGTATCTTGCTTGGTGCTGTTCATGGAATTGTTGAATGCTTGTTTAGAAGGTACACAGAAAATGGAATGAGCGAAGATCTAGCGTACAAGAACACTGTCGAGTGCATTACTGGGGTCATATCAAAGACCATCTCAACTAAGGTTGAATTTTTTTTAGTAATAATTTTTAATTTTTTGTTAGCAGTTGTTTGTGGATGGCTTCTGATATGCATTGATCCTGTCAGGGAATGCTGGCCTTGTACAATTCTTTGTCAGAAGAAGGTAAAAAGGATTTCCAAACAGCTTACAGTGCCTCGTACTACCCTTCCATGGACATTCTGTATGAGTGCTATGAAGATGTTGCTAGTGGTAGTGAGATCCGAAGTGTTGTTTTGGCTGGACGACGATTCTATGTATGTCATTCTTACTTTTTTTTTAAAAAAAAGAAAAAAAAAAATTGTTATCACCTCCGTTTGGAGTGTCCCTTTAGATTGAGATGTTTGCTTTAAAATTCAAATCTCAAAACCAATGCATGTTTGGTGTAAGGAAACATAGATGAATCATATTATTGTAAAAATGTTTTTTTTTTTTTTTTTTAATTTTTTTTTTAGGTGTCATGCTTTTGCTGGATCAGTTTGATATTTTTTAGTCCAGTCCCATGTCTTGTTAATTGTATTAGGATGCTGGCTGTTGTTCTGCTAAGTGTGCTGTTTATAAAGATAAATATTAAAGCTAATCCTCTTTGTTTTTAATTGCAGGAAAAGGAAGGCCTCCCAGCTTTTCCAATGGGTAATATTGATCAAACCAGAATGTGGAAGGTGGGTCAGAAGGTCAGAGAAACCAGACCTGCAGGTGACATGGGCCCATTATATCCTTTTACTGCCGGTGTCTATGTTGCTCTAATGATGGCCCAGGTAAGACTGTATGCTAATTTGCTCATGCTTCATAAGTTTATATGACTGCTTCCAATGTCTAATCAGAGCTCTAGATACTACTTATTATAATCTCTGCTTACTAAAGTCACACGATGTTCTTTATAATTCCCCTAAACATGCATGGGAAGAGACTTTGGGTTGTAAGCCTGCCTTGCCTTCTCAAGGGTGGTTGTTTTTCTACTTATGTAACCTGTCTTGTTTCCCTTGTTTAATTGTAGCCTTTGCTTCTTTTTATATGTAGACCTTGTCACACTTGATGGAGTTGATGGTTTGAATCAGTAAATATCACTTCTTGCATGCAATATTTGAAGTTTCCTAAAATCGGATGTCCTGAAGTGTAAATTTTGGATAGAATAATCCCCTAGGCTGCTGTTGATGCCTTGCTAAATTTCTTCGGTAGCATATGTGCGTGTGATTTTTAACTTTAAATGAAGTCGTTTCTTGTGGAAGTAAATGAATGTCTAGGTAGTTTTTTTATGCACTAATATGTGAAGTAAAGTGTTACGAACCGATTGAACCCACTTATAGCTTAGTGAGGATGTCTAGGAAATCAGTCATCAGCTTAATCTCATATGAAGTGTTTTATAATACTTCGTGCTGTTTTTGATATATATGTTGGGAGACTGCATTCTCTAACACCTTGATATAATGTTACCAGATTGAGATCTTGAGGAAGAAGGGTCACTCTTACTCTGAGATCATCAATGAGAGTGTGATTGAAGCAGTAGATTCCTTGAACCCCTTCATGCATGCCCGGGGTGTCTCATTTATGGTTGACAACTGCTCAACCACAGCAAGACTTGGATCAAGAAAATGGGCCCCTCGTTTTGATTACATTTTAAACCAACAAGCCTTTGTAGCTGTTGACAAAGGTGCTCCAATCAACCAAGATTTGATCAGCAACTTCTTGTCAGATCCTGTTCATGAAGCTATTGGAGTTTGCGCAGAGCTCAGACCATCCGTTGATATCTCTGTGACCGCTGATGCTGATTTTGTGCGCCCTGAGTTGCGCCAGGCATAAGTATTATTAGGTATGGAGTTGTAAGATCCGAGCTTTTTGTACTTTAATCTTTTCTGTCCCGTGAAACAAGACCCTCTATATTCTAAGTTTTGGCTAGAGTTTTATGTTTAATTTGGGACTTTAGAGAGTGCCTGTCTAACTTGTGTTGTAATGTAGTAGTATGTGGCTGCAATAATGTTGTAGTATGTGGCTGCAATGCTGCCAGTGCCCCCCGGGGCCATCTTATCAGTTATGCTTGGTTCGTGATGCTGTAGGAAATAAAGATCTTTCCGTACACCGTTCTACAATTGCATGCTTGTTAAAAACCTCATTGTCATGGTCCTTACAGATAAATGCTTGTTTTAAAGCAAGAAGTTTTGTTTCTACATGCTTTTCAGCCCCTACTTTTAACATCTCTCTCCCACTTAATCATGGTCACAACCTTTTTAAGCTTGCCAATCACTTGCTTGGCTACTCCGGTCTCTCTCCAGTCTCCACTATAGAACAATTGGTTAAAACCGTGTTACTCAAACTCAACAGACTATCAAACCTGATGTGATTTTTAGTCCGAAAACTAAGCCTCACAAAGATATGAATCTAACCTAATTCTATACAGAAAATTCACCAAGAATTAAGCAAGAAACTTAGATTAATTAATCAAGAATCCACCTAATTAATCAACCTAGGTGATTGTTTTAACTAAAACAAACAAAACAGCAAATTGGAATCCACCAATCAAGAATTTAAGTAATCCAACTTAAACAAAAGCAATAAGAAATATTATTATGAATGTATGATTAAACTTGTATATTATTCGAAGATTACAACCCTATATTTATAAACTCAATCAATTATCCTAATCCCACTTGAATTAGAATTCTAATCCCCTAACAAAAACCCACGGATTGCATAACTTAATCAAGTTTAGATAACTTTGATTTAGTTATTTAATCCTACTTAAACTCTAACTACTCTTAAGATAAAACTTGCCTATTTTATCCTAACTCAAGCTTGCACTCCAAGCTATTATTGACGCCTACTAGACTAAAACAATTCCTAATGCAATTAGAAATCCTAAGTGCTTAAAACAAGAAAAACCCTTTCAAATGAAAGGTAAAAACTTGTAAGCAAAAACCTAAGAAAGCTTTTAAAGAAACCTTAAAGAACTATCAAGAAGCTTCAAGAACTCCCAAGAACGCCACCATACAAAGCGTGGCTTTGTCTTGATGCCCCCGATAGTAAGTTTGACCTATTGAAGAAGCTTCCAAGTATAGATTCATGCTTTCTTGACTTTCTTGGAATAATTCTTCAACATGCTCATCGTTCACATTGATGCACGCATCAAAACCCCCCTCCCGCAGTCCCCAGTCGACGTCATCTTTGTAGCTGGTATGCAGACATGCAGTACAGAATCCTTTTGTGATACAAGGTTTTTTTCCACCAATTTTATATATAAGCATGAAGTTATACAGGCAATTCTGAATCCTTGTTCTTAATAAAAGCAGGAACTTAATCTTTCTTTATCTCTGTCTTCTCTTTTACTGTTTCACAGTATAAAAAAAAAAAAAAAAACTAAACAAAACAAGGTTGTTCCTTCGTGAACCTCGCTTCCTAGCAACCTGTGTCGTATCCTCAAGCACACCCAAGACCCACCCTCGCATCAACCACCAGCAATTAAGGAGGAAGTTTTTTTCAAAGAAATTCACAGTAGATCTGAGAAGCTAAGGTTGATTGTTGGTTGTTTCCATCGCCCGACAATGCTCATTGCCACCACTACTAGCGGTTAATTTAGCCCTAATTTAATTGATGTGTAATAATTATATGAATTTGATTATTGCATAAATAACTGAGATCGTGGAGTATTGATTTAGGTTCGTTTGCAATTGCTTGGGTTAAATACTATGATTTATTTTTTATTTTTTTTTTAATTTTTTTACAATGATACCAATTGCAAAAACCGCTAATTCAATTAGCGGTTTATTGGTGATTCATTAAATGTCTGCTGATGTGGACGGTAGTTTGGGATTTTTGTTAAAAAGGGGCATATATATGGAATTTTGACATTTTTCAGCAATATTCATGGAAATCGCCCCTTAAATGATGTAGTTGGATGTGGCAACCCAAAATTACAAGGGATGTAGCTATCCATTGTGGATGATCTAATGTTATAAATGCTCAATATACACATTAGATTCTTGAGAAGAGAAGTTCGAAAAGAAAGAAAATGCAAGTGCACCTTTTCTTGCTAGTGTAAATGAAAAGATAAAAAATAAATAGAGGGAGTACAACTATTAATGTATTGGAACTTATTAGACTAAATTATAACTTATAACGGCTTATTTAGAAAACCCTGTAATAAACAGAGGGGGGATAATTCCGATGAATAAAAAAGATTAACATTAATTTTGTGTTCAATCCGAAATACTTAAGTAAGGAAATACTAATATGAATTTAGAAAGGGAGAAAACTTTAGCTATTTTATGTTGTCCTATTATTTCTTCCGTTTTTATTTAGTTGCATCACTTTAGTTTTCACGGACTCCTAAGCAATTTTTGGAGTAGATAGAAAAGAATTGGGCCCATATGATAGGAGAGAGATAGAGAGAATTTATTTTATTTTATTTACTTTTTTTTTTGAAAAGAAAAGTAATTCATTAATAGAAGAGTCATACGACCTATAATATAAATCAAAACTAGCAAATACAAATACAATACAAACTGAATCAAATAATATTCTAATTTGACAAAACTACGATCGTTATTATCTGGATCTGACATTTCTAAATGCCCTCTTTCACACCGCTGTTTGATACAACTTTTCACGAGGGGGTCTTTCGATCTATTGTAGTTTTGAAATCGAACACCATTTGATACAATTGATTGTATATGTAGAATTAACCTCCATGGCGACACAGCACAACTCCTCATCAACAAATCAATTTTTCTTACAAAATTAAAGAACATAGCCCCAAAACTCTCAAAAAAAAGAAAAAATTAACCCGATATACGGGTAGAAAAACTCTCAAATAGAGAGACAACAATTATTGTGAGCATAAAGTAAAAAACTAGTACGAAACTAAGAGATTAAGGGCTTACCATCAACCAAAAGGTTGGTGGTAGCCCCTACACACAAGAAATTTTTTTTTAGGGTTTTTGAGGAGTAAGTGAAAAGAGGAGAGGCGGAGATAAACAAATTATTTACAGAGAGAATTTATTAGTTAAAAAAGAAAGTGATGCAACTGATTTGAAACTTTCATTTTAGAAAAGCGATGCAACTAAAATAAACGGAAAAAATATATACATATTTTTTTTTATCAATTTTATAATTTTATTCGATATTACTCCATAATCTTCAATATGTTAGACCACACTCCTTATTATTTTCACATGAGGTTTATTAAACTTGTTAAAACTTATTTTTATTAATTCAATATCATAACATCTCTATCCCATTTTTTTTTTGCCCCAATTTCTTTTTTAATCCGTCCGTTAAAGGTTGCTCTATGCTATTAATGTAGATAGGGACTATTATTTTGCTCTCACAAAATAATCTCATAAATTCCACTCAAGTACTCGTAAAACTTAATACAGTGAAATATTTTTATGGGACAAACAATTGAGGACGAAGAAAGTGCTTGTTATTGAACTTACTGATTTTCACAGTCACAATATACTCTATTATTTTTGTTTTTTGGTACAAACTTAATTATCTTGACAATAATAATAATAATATAAAGTTAAAGTGGTTAATGATTATACGAGTATCGTCTAAATTTTTTCATTTTCCCCCTCTCAAAAAATAGCACAAAAGTAAACCATTTTCAAAAATTTTAAGAGTAAGAATACCCGCTAAAATGTGATCATCTATAAATTCAAATCAACTCCTCTTAAAAACGCTTCCATCTCAAAACTCATAACCAACTCCCAGCAGCAGTTAGAGAGAGAAAGAATGGCGAGTATGGCGATGGTGAGTCCAGTTGCAGAGCAACTCCATAACCACAATCATCATACGCACATTACAGAGCAAATGATCAATTTCAAGCTCAAGGAAAGGAAGAAGCTCTCTCTCGAAAACTACCTTTCCTTCCTCCAATCTGGCGATTCTACCACCTTCACCGTCGATCAACTCAATATGGTAATTTCTATCACTTTCTCTTCAAATTTCGTTTGATTTCAAGGTTTTTATGATGCGATTTTGTTGAATTTTTGCTAATTTGTTTGAATTTTAACTTAAAACCTATTTTCTCTCTGTTTTTAAGCGTTTGTTGAGGTTTACCACAATTTCGATCGAATTTGTTAGTTTTATTGCTGGTTAAACTGGAAACCGGTGTAAATGAAACCTGATTTACGAAGGAATTTCTCAGAAATTTCGTTTAAGTTGAAAGTTCCGATGAGAAATTTCGATTTTATTTCATATTTTTGTGAATCAATTAGCGCTGTTAATTCGCTCTGCCAATCTAATGTGTGTAGTTTTATTGTTGGTAAAATTGGAAATCGTTGTGAATTAAACCTGATTTACGAAAGAATTTCTCAGAAATTTTGTTTAGGTCGTAGTTTTTGATGAGAAATTTCTATTTTATTTCCATTTCTTGTGAATCAATTTGCTCTGTTAATGTTGAACTAGAATTTGTTATGAATCAAACCTGTTTTTCGTAAGAATTTCTCGAAATTTTCATGTCAGTCGTAAATTTGATTTTATTTCATGTGTATCTAAATGAATTATGTCCTTTAATTACTAGTTGAACTGAATGTCCCTGTAAATTTTGATTTCAAATTCGTTTTCGCTGAATTCCGACGAGAAATTTCAATGTCATTTCAGCTGAGAAGCTACGAATGAAAATTTCAAGTAAAATTCATGTAAAGTAGTTGTGATTTTGATTGTTTTTCTCCACAATATGCAGATAATTTCAATCCATGGTTTCAAGAAGGCCAGTCAACGGAAGGTTCTGGACTCTTCATCTTCACTCTCTCAATTTTCTCTTCATCTCTTACTCTCTCAATTGACTGACACACTAATTGCAGAAAGCTGAAGAAGCACTGAAACAACTCGAGCCAATCGATGCAGCGCGATCAACTCTGACCGAAGACATTTCATCATCAATCAAAGCAAACATGGACTTCAACGAAGCAGTCAAGGATCTCAAAGCTCTCAATTGGCAAGAGTGCTCAATCATTTCCTTCAAATCAATCAAACCGGAGAATGACAAACTTGTCCTCGTCTCTCCTTCAACTGCAACTACCACCAAATCAGGATCTCTGAAGGTGAAGAAGAAGCCTAAGTTAGCATCGTCGATGATTAGCTCAGGCAGTGTTCCGAATGAGAGTGGTGGTTCTGGTACTAGTCACAGCTTGGTTCCTGTTTTTCCTTCTGCAACAGCTCCCAAAATGCGGAAGACTGTAAAGCGGCGGAAGTTAGCATCATTGACTGAGAGCTCCTGCAGTGGTCCTAGCATTGACAGTGGCAGAGGTTCTGGTGGTTGTTCGTCGTCTTCACTTTCAGCAGGAGGAGGGAAGAGAGGTGGTGGGAAGAAAATGCTCCATGCAATAGTCTGCCTAGGGGCTAATTAGCAGTACTGAAAGATAGTTACAAACTGAGCCTCAATAGGATATGGCTGTTTTATAACTCCTAATCACGTTTTCGTGGCGGTTTTAGTGCTGTTAGCTACAATTTGTTTCTTAATGGTGGACTTGAAGTTTAAAGGAGATAAATATTAGTAGAGTTTGTGCATTCGATTTTGTTTAGTTCCACTGGAAATACTTTATCAGACACTGTAATTTTTGGATTTTGCTATGCTAATTGAAGAGATTGGAAGGTATAAGATCTACTTGTTGAAATCATGCCAACTTTTTGTCAAATAATTTCATATGAAACATTGAAACACGAAACTTGTATTTAATGCAATGTGTAGATTCATACGATCATGCATGTATAGGATTAGCACTGATTTGTAAGACAATTTCCCATACAACTTATTCGTCATTACTCGCTCTGCTCCATTGAAGTTGCCCCATAGGAGAATTGTTAATGTATCCCCTCCATTATACGATCATACATTAGCATATAGATTAAAAAGAGAACGGCGAAGCACGTGATAGCAAAGTAGTAGTCTCTTGTATCATTTATGGTGTGGAGCAAATTCAATGAGACGTCAAACAATGAAATATCTATACTTGTCTATTAAAAAGTGTTTCTAATACAAGATATGTGCCACATGACACCCTTCACATGTATAAATGTATTAGAAGTATGCCACATCACCATAATATGCCATATCATCCATTTTACTATAAACATGCTTCAATGGTAATAAATATGTTTATCACAAGGTTTGAACACAAAACCAATATCTATACTTATCTATTAAAAAGCGTTTCTAATACAAGATATGTGTCACATGACACCCTTCACATGTATTAGAAGTATGCCACATCACCATAATATGCCACATCATCCATTTTACTATAAACATGCTTCAATGGTAATAAAAATGTTTATCACAAGGTTTGAACACAAAATCAATAACAAATGAATTAATGTTCGTTCTTACCAACTTTGCTATCTTATAGTTATGCTTCATATTCAATTATAATACACTAAATATTTAAATTTGTACAAAACATCAATTGGAGAGCGTTTATTTAGTTTCAATAGTTATTATTGCTCACTTATTTTTTGTAATTATATAGTTTATGATTTTATAGCTCAAATAATATTTATTGATAATCAAAATGAAACCTGATGCATCGCTCGGGTCACACACTAGTGATCTAATTAAAATAGGATGGAATGATACCTAATACACGGAGTACTTGAGTACAATAGTTACGGATTCTAAGCAAGAGAGACAAATTTTCTCAAAATCAAACTTCTAATTATGCTAAGATACAAAAGAAAATTAACTAATTCTCATACATAAGATTAATAGGGATCTTGCTGTCTAATCTAAAATAATAGGTCACACACTACACATTTTTTTAGAGGTGATGGAGAAAATTCTTATAAAAATTGACACCTCTTACAGTAACATTGATTACCATTTTACCACCAATAATGACACTTGTTGTCAAAAAAAAAAAATTTTTTTAGAGGTGATGGAGAAAATTCTTATAAAAATTGACACCTCTTACAGTAACATTGATTACCATTTTACCACCAATAATGACACTTGTTGTCAAAAAAAAAAAAAAAATAAAAAAAAATAATGACACTTGTTGAACCTCTAGATAAAATGTTATTCCTCAACCATAGCACACCTTGAAAGAAATTGTTAAATCAACCCAAATACATTTAAGTTGGGATGCAAAATCATTTTAAACAATTAGCCTTTAATATCATTGCAAATTGTCAATCCTAGATTAACTTCTTGGTTAAGGATATGATTGACAAAAACTACACCTTACTGCAACTACTAGCAAGCATTTGCATGGGTAATGATAGACGTGGCAATCTTGACCCAAATCCGATGACCCGATCCGAATGACCCGATATTGACCCAAAAACATTGACCCGAAAATAACTCGTAACCCGAAATTGACCCGACCTGACCCATACCCGACCCGAAAATGGATTTGACCCGATCCTGACCTGACCCGAAATTGACCCGAATTGTTTGACCCGAACATACCGGATACCCAAAATTGACCCGAACAGACCCGATACCCGAAATGTCCCGAACTAAAATTATCTTATAATTGAACTTAAAATGTCTTGTACCAAAAGTAACTCAAATTGTTCATCTTCAACCGTAGCTAAGCTCATAAACTGAATTGATAGTTTTATTAGGAAAAATTGTCAAAAATAATACGACCTTTCAGCGGTCCGCCAATAATAAGTCAACCTTTTGATTATTTCTGAATAATACGACATTTGGGGGTTATCCGCTAACAACAAGTTATAACCGGTTAGTGACCTATTTAACAAGTTATATAGGACACGTGCCATTATCTTATTCATTAGAAATTTAATTTTTTTTTTATTTTTATTTTAAATAAAAAAAACTCCCTTCCCTTTCTCTTTACCCTTCCCCCTTCCATAATTTCCGGCAGGAGCACCACCAAGCTGCACCCACCAACTGCCATTTTTTGCCCAGCTCAACTAATAACCACCAATTTGGCCGCCTTCACATCACCGTCTGCCAGCCTTCATCACCACAAAAACGACATCCCTCCTTCCTCCACCGTTGTTCGCTGCCACCAAACCCTTTCTTCACCTCCCACCTCCACTTTATCCCTCGCTTTTACTCCTTTGCCGATCTCCCATCTCTCTCTTATGGTGCCCAAATTCCTACTCTCTTCCCTGACAACTCTTTTCCCATTACTTCCTCTAATTTCGATGACGATGTCCCCATTAATAGTGTCAAGCTCAACAACTCCCAGGTCTTCGACGATGGTACGTTTCTTTGTCATCTTCCAAACGATCTCACTGTGGTCGGCATCAGAAACGTCGACATCCCATGCCAGCAGTCCTCCCCCATCCAGTAAAACTCCCACAACCCTCGATTCTAGCCACCTCCTCCCTTCCCCCACTTGAATTCATTTTTTCGATCCTAAATTTCGCAAAATCCCTAGGGTTACAGTTGCACCAATTTGTAAAATTATGTCGCAAATTATCATCAAATGGCGGAGGAAGATGGCGAGGAAGAGAAATTTCGGTGAAAGCGGATTCAATGGAGTCTCGTTGGAAGATGATGGAGATGATTCAGGATAAGGGAGGGGGTGGCTGGAATCAGGGGATGCGGTTAGGGGAGAGGGGAGTTTTACGTGATGGTGGAAGGGTTGCCGGCGTTTTCTGAGGGCGGGGGAACGGCGAGATGGTGCTCAGGAGTTTTCGGCGGAGGAAAGGGAGGGGATGGGGGTGTTTTCTGGTGGGGGTTAAGCTGATGGTGGTTTTTTTCATTTTTTATTTTTAAGATTTTTTTTAAAAATATTAATTGTTAATAAATGATAATTAAATTTAGTTAATTACATTGTTAAATCAATTTATTACCGGTTATTTAGGTTGTAGGTAAAATAACTTGTTTAAAGCGGACACCATCAAAAGGTCGTATTATTCAGAAATAATCAAAAGATTGAATTATTTTTGGCGGACCGCTGAGAGGTCGTATTATTTTTGACAATTTTTCCTTTTTATTATAACAATAACAAAATATATACTCCGTATAAAATTATTCATTTGAGCTTGATTTACAAATGAAACAACCTGAACTTGACCCGAATATGACCCGAAATTGACCCGACCCGAACATATCCGACCCGAAATTGACCCGACCTGAACTTGACCCGATACCTAACCCGAAACCCAAATCAACCCGACCCGAATGTTATCTGACCCCAAATGACCCGATCCGAAAGTGACCCGACCTAGACCTGCCCTGAATGACCCATTTGCCAGGTCTAGGTAATGACACCAATTCAATATACGAGCTCACACTAAAACTGGCTCTTGGAGCAATATCTAACCTAGAAATTGAAGTCTTAGCAATACGGAAATTTGATAAATGGCTCTCAGAGCAATATCAACCTAGAAATTTTTTCAAGACCAGGTTAATTCCACGAAATATGCCGATATAATAGACATAATAATGGCTATGGCGAATATGGCTCCATGGGATTTTTTGCAGCCATAAAAACCCTCCATCCCCCTCTCAAACACCCCATCAAAACATGCCCAAGTATGTAAATGAAAGGAAAAAAGCATAGCAGGTTTCGACAACAGCTCAAGACTAAATTAGTTTCATGATGAGATTCATCTACAACCAGCAATTGGAGGCCTTCAGATTATCACACTAATCATCAAAACATGATTCAATTTCCATTTCCATGAAATAACTAGTAATTATAATTTGGTTTTAAGTTACAATGGGGAAATGCATTTGTGTGATAAGCGCCCGCTGTCAAGCTCCTGTTGCATATAAGCGCGTCCATTCCTTTGCTGCAACATGATAGTGTACAGCACAAGTATTAGACAACCAATGAATCTTGCACAGTATATTATCATCAATATTAAAGTACTACAAAAAAGTATCAGTACGATGATAGTACTCCCACAATCCCACTATCTCAATTAATTGTCACATTGTTACAAATTACAGAGTACAAAGTTAAGGATATGACGCGATTGTTACAAATATAATCAGCTATCATCATATTTGATTGTCACACTGTCATTTCTATAACCTTTCCATCACTTAAAGAGATTCAATTATAAGTATAACTCATTACTATGATAGGAAATGTGGTAGCTTTTTACAAAGGTCCTAGGAAATTTGTATATTGATTATGGATGGAGAAAGTATGTTGTAATTTGCTGATCGGTGTTCATGATTAATCTTTTACCATACTAATATCACATTTCAATTACAAATTGACAAAAATAAAATAAAAATGCAAGGGCAATATACTTGCTTGGGATATCTATATTCTTAGTAGTATTTAGAGGGGCAGTGTAGTTGCAAACCTGTTTCCACAGCTTCAACTTCATTACTTTTCCAGTGCTTTGCAACATTCTCTGAAAGGGGATCATCTGGGTTGGGAGCACTCAAAAGAGCCTGGATACTGATTAGAGAGAAATTTTCGAAACCTTTTTAGATAGTTAACTGATATTATAAGAGTAACAAGCAACCTTTTGCAAGATATAACTTAATCAAGCACACTACAACTTACCTTTCAGAAAATTATGAATCCAATAATGTATATAAAGGAATTTCAAAGACAATCACCGACAGTTAAAGACCCGTATATATTTTCTTGTTAGAATATGAAAAATCAATATAATAAAGGAAACCTGATTGAAAGGCACAAGGTAGAACA